TGATTGTTATTTCCAGTCCAAAATAAATAGTGGTGATTTCATGACAAGGCATATATGAAAAAAGATCGCCTGTTGACTGCTCTCAGTATAAAAATACTGAATTAATTATATTTTAAAATATTAAAGTCAAAAGATAGTGAGAAACCAAGGAGACATTTCCTGCTGACTTCAGTGAGTCCTATCAAGTCTATATGTTTCCAATTTTCCCATTCATTCTTTCTTTTCTTTTTATGTAAAGGATGTCATTCAGCTGCATGCCTTAACTGAAAATAGGTAAGCATATTGAAAATTATTAGCTTTACTGTGAGTTAATTACGCAAATGCATACACCCCCCTACGTGTGGTGTTAATTTTTTATTATGGTGACTATAACTATAAAAAGATGTAAAATTGCTACCATCTGTGTCTCTGTTGGACAGTGATCTGGCACACATGAAGAAAAAAGAGATCCTTTATTCTGTGTATTTTCCCTGGTTAGTTGAAACCAATTCTGTTTTTAATCATGCTATGTATGCATTGAGTCCTTAATTTTTAACATTAAGGTAGTTATTTTATTGCATCATATCTTTCATTTTTAACGGTGAAATAATTATCCTGTTACATTGACTGAAGGAGACCCCTGTCCTCAGCTGAGAATATACCAGTACAGGCTGTGTGAGTCCTTATTGTTTAATTTTCTGTATGTGGACAACACAGACTTTAGAATATTACTGACCAACTGGACAGGCTGTTCAAAGGCTTAGAAATTGCTTTATGTTTATCTGAGGTGCAGGTCATCTCCCCTTTAATGTGAATATGCAATTAATCAGTAAATTTTTCCTATGTCACTGATAATATTAAACTCTCCACATGTTCAGTACCGCTCATACACTGTGTAGCATGTTGGTAATCAAAACAGGTGTTACTAAGCCTTGAAGAAGTCTCATCCAAACTTATAATTTGTATTAATTATATCTCTCCATTATTATAACCTTTCTTAGCTAATCATGTTTACTGACAACAATTGTACTATTTGTCAGGCCTCCATACCTATAATTACCCAGGTCATCTGATATAAATCCTAGGAAAACCCTAATTTTTTTTTTTTTTTTTGAGACATGCATTGCCTATTAATATCACTATAATACAATGATTTCTTACTGGCAAGCTTTAGTGAAAAATTGTCCTTTTGGATCAGTAAGTGGGGATTAGTAATCTCTACCGAAGTCATTACGCTGGCAGTTGTGTGTATTAATATATATTTTTCTGTAATGTTTTTGTCTCTCTCTCAAAAAAAAAAAAAAAAGTATTTGTCACAGATGATGTACATGCCTTCTTAAAGGTCATTCTCCAAACCACTGTTAAGCCTACCCTAAGTATTGTTTCTTTTTTCTCATATTTATTGCTTGTGAAATGCTAGCTCCCTGTTACTGAGGTTATAGTGTATTAGTATCTTTAGGCTCTATCTAGTCTAAGAAAATATATGACCTATGCTATATATTGACCTTGTAAAACAGAGCTGCAGCTATTAAACTGTATGCATTTTTTAAGTTAACTCCATTACCAGAAGTACATGTTTTCCACTTACCACAGCTATGGCAAAGGTAGCTATCAGCTAGATTCAACTCCCAGTAAATAAATAGATTTCTCTTGTTTAAATGCAGGTTTGCATGATCTCTTCTTTTCTTTCATGTTTGTGAGAGACGTTTATATTTTGAGCAAAATTCTGACTAATGCAAGTTACACTTTCATACTAGGAAAGAACAAACTGCCAGAAATGGGAAGAAAAGACTTCTTGTGTTCCATTGCTGCCTTCTTTTGTACGATCCATATGAAGGAGTGTATAGAGCAAATGGTAAAGATTCAATATATTCGCATACCTGTATTTGACTTTTCAGTCTAGCAGTAGCTCCTACACAATTGTCTGTACAAATTATTTTTGCTCTTAGCATATATGGAATACAAAAAGCAAGTAAGAATAAAGGTGGTCTCAATATGTTTGCAATGGATATTGCTTCTATCTTATATTAATTTTCCCACTTGGTTAAATCTTCACTTAACTGAAATAAAATGTAGTATTGTGATTTTTAGTGTTTCATTAGAGGAAAAAAAACCAGCATGTCTTAGTAATATCAACCCACCAAACTCATTTTGGTTGGAAAGTTAAGCCCTAAGACTGTTAGAAAATACAGATTCCCTAGTTGTCTATGCATATAAATTTTAAGTGTTTTGTTTCAAGTTTTGTCTACAGAATCATTGCCTTTTTTCTAGGTTTGAGGCCAAAAGGTTAAAAATTAATGTTGTAGGGCAGTAATTTATCTGGCAGTTACTAACTTCCAAATGTCTGTCCTTGCAAAGTATTTTTCTTTTCATGTAATATATTTATATGTTATATATACTTTTAAGATTGTATTGTTTTCAGTGGCATACAACCAGTAAAGTCTTATATGGAGCAAACGGAAAGTACTTGCTCAGAAAGGCTGGCAATGAAAATTGTTATTAATCACTATAAAGATTTCATAGCTCTTGTCCCGTCTCATCATCAGTCTGTATTTAGAATGGCAGACAAATTTGTTGAATGCTAATGTTTTCTGAATCAATTTCTGCTCAGAGCAGACTAGGAATCCAACACTTCATGTCCTTTTCTATAAAAATAATGTGTATTTCTCAGATCCTATTCTTCATGCCTAGTATAAGATTGATTGGTTCTGACATTGTTCTAACTTTTGAGATAAATGGTAGAGGAGCATAATGTGATGCTGCTTCATGTCACTGTCAGAAAAATTACTGCAAGCATTATGGGTTAGGACTCATTTGTTATTAACTTTAAGAACTCATGGAGGTGGTGTAAGTTTCAAAGCAGCCGACTTAGAAAAAAAAGGGGAGGGGGTGGGGGGACACCTGCAAAATTATAGATGGGTAACCCGAATTTCAGCAACTGGGAAGGCCCTAGAACAACAACAGCAAAACACTGTAGCACTGTAGGCCATAACAGGTAGATGACAGTATGACAGTCTGTAGGAGCCAGTGCGGATTTGTTGAGAACAAAGCATGTCAGACCAGTTAAATCTCTAACATCTGCTTCGTCCCCTGTACCCACAAGGGCTGTTATCCTGGCGTAGACCTCCACCTCGCAAAGCTTTTAATACCTTCTCGAAGGAAGCTCTCACAGGGGAGCTAGGGTGACATAAATTAAACTGCTAGTGAGAGGATGCAAACTTGTACTTGGTGAGTGGTTCACATGATCTAGTTTCAAAACAAAAGGACGGATGCGTTGCACCTGCGGTGCTTTGTCCTGAGCCTTTAACTATTTATTTTCATTCTGACATAGGATTTTCCCAGTAATTGAGCAGGCAATACCAGCCTGTACACATGTCAAAAGTTAGGTGTAGAATTCAGAGTGATGTTGATGAATTGCACTGCAGACCAACCTGAGTTAAAGCATGCACAACGCACAGAGGGACCAGAGCGGAGCTCTGCAGGCAGGGCCGGTGAAGCAAAGTGCACAGATGGGGGATAGAACCTGCCTGGCCTGGCAGTTCTGCTGCAAACGCGTGGCCGCGTGGCAAACTGCAGAAGGGCACCACTGACCAAGGGGACGGCGAGGTGCCCTGCTGGGAACAGTGAACACTGTGCCCTGCCGTGTGCACAGAAATATGGTATTTTCTGTTTTTTTAAATGGGCAAAGTAATGCTTCCGCTCCCTCGGGCATTGGCTTGGTGTTCTCTAATTTTGAACGTGACATTTAAAGAAAACGTGGTCTAACTGGAGAGCCAGTGGGGATAGAAGAATGTATGGCCAGAGGGCTTGACCTGTGAGGGAAGATTACATGAGGAATGTAGTCATGTGTTTGACTTACAGCCTAACTGTGGTGGTACTGCTCAATTTAGGGTTAAACGCAATGCGCTGTCCTTTAGGGAGGACCAGTACTCAATAGTTTCACTGTGTAGGCCCGGTTACTTTGTGTAAACGATGCAGGACTACACCCTCGAAGAAGGAACTAAAGACTGATGAAAAGGAAACATCCTGCCCCAGAAGGCACCAGAGGCCAGATGATTGCCAAAGAAGCATGAACTTGGGGAAAAGTAAGGCGGCGGGGGGAGATGGCGACCACCGACTCAATTCAAGACCTAGAAGACCTGCTCCCCCCCTACACTCCTTGAGCACGGGCTGTAGAGCAAAAGAACACTGTACTTTTAATTTGAAGCGGAGAAAACCTTAGCCGAATAGAAATGGTGGCAAGTAAGTGACTACCAATAATGATTTGGGGGAAGGACTTTGGAAACTAAGTGGGTGAGTATAAATCGCTTGCTTGTTTAACTGCAGGGTGTGCTAGCTTTGTGGAATTACCGCCTAGCACCCATCTTCGCGCAAATATGCAATAAACAACGCCTCTCCTCAGCGCATGATGATTGTCTCCTTCCGCACCGGGTGACGAATCCGCCGTTCGGACAGCGCTCTGAATCCCGAAGGACGGTGGGACGCCCGGATGCCCTCGCACCCGCGGCCGTTCGGCGGCCGCTGCGGAGGCGGCGGTGGGTTTCCCTGCCGCCCCCTCGAGAGCGCGCGCGGTAGTGGCGGCAAAACCACTGCGGCACGGCAGGTTCGAGTTTGGCGTCAGGTAGAAGGTCTGCAGCGGTGCGGCCTGCGCGCGCTGGGCAGCAGCGGGCCTCAGGCGACCAGCTCGGACGCCGTGACCGCGGGATCCGTCATCCCGCGACCCGTCCGGTCTAATTCCCTTCACCGCGCTGCCCGCTCTGCCGGGCGGCTCGAGCTGCCGGGGGCGGTGCCGCCTCCGCCGCCCGCCCCGCCGTTGCTCGGTCACGTGATAGCGACCGGCCGGGCACTACAGCCCCCAGCGTGCAGTGCGCTCACGGCGGGACGGGGCGGCGGCGGCGCCTCCGCCGTGCGTGTGCGTCGCCACCGAAATTTGAACATCGGTCCCATGGTGCCCCGCGGGCTCCCGCTGATTGGCTGGGCCGGGGGGCGGTGCGTGATTCAAAGTCGGTGGCGGAGCGGGCGGCGGCGGCGGCTGAGGCGAGCGGCGGACGGTTGCTCTGGGCCCCAGGCGCCACGGAGCGAAGGCGGTCAGCGCTTCGCCTCTCTCCCCCCGGCAGGTTTCGCGCCGAGACTCCGCCATGGCTTCCCTCAGCTTCCAGGGCAGCGGTGGCGCTAAGAAGGAGGAGAAGGGCAAGAACATCCAGGTGGTGGTGCGGTGCAGGTAGGCGCGGAGGCCTTCCCCGCCCCGGGCAAGCGTTGGAGGTCGGCCTGCAGCAGGGGCCTTCGGAGAGCCGCGGCTCTGCCCAGCTGCTACTCGGCGGCTCTGGGGAAAGGGAACTGCGTGACGCCTCTCCGCGTATATCGCTGTTCAAGAGCCCGCCGTTGCATCCGAACGGCGCTCGTTACTGCGCTTTAGGATGCCTGTCCGAGGCATTAATTGTTCGCGCTGTGTGGCGGACCCCTCTAGCCAGCGGAGATAATCGGCACTTCCGCAAAATTACCGCTGCTGTGAATAATTTCTTACAGCTTAAAAAGGCAAAAAGTTGCAATTTCCTGACTTGGTTCGGTACACCCAGTGTGAATCTATGTAGGAAGGCTAAGAAGAGCTAGATGAGAGTTAGTACGACTGATATTCAAGACACAAAAAAAACGAACTGAATTTTTATCTTTTATGGGCTTCTGTGGGAAGCCGCTATGATGTAGCAGCTAATAAAATTTTTGCTGCACCCACTTTTGCATATCTTTCGTGTAACTTCAGTGATGCAGACTCCGAATTCAGAGGAAAAGCTATGGGAGTCAGCTTCTTAATTAATGATGATCAACTACATTGGCTGATAAGATTAATTTATTTTTTGGTATGATATGACAAATTTCATGTACCATAAAATTAGGTTCTCTTTGTAATTTTGAGGTGACTTTAAAGACTTGCTTATTGATACTGCATCTTAAATGTTCTTAAAGTGTTGCTTGTTAAACCTGTAATACTGCTAATGGGTTAAGAATAGTGTTCAGAATAACTTTGAAAGTTTTTGGGGTTTGGTTTCTTTTTTGAGCCAGAGCTGCAAATGTTAGCTTACACATTATGATTATTATCATTAATGCCTTTTGCAATCATACTGGAATTCCAAACAGGCTTGGAAGTTCTACTTTTACAGATGCACAATGAAAATAGAAATTAAATGTGATTTTCCCTTATTTTTGCAACACAGATAAAGAGCTGCTGAAACAAATGTTATGGGATTGGTGAAAGTGTTGCTGTAAATCAAGGCTATTGCAAAAGAAGAATAACTTTATTGAAGAATTTGAGTTTGACACTGTGTCAAGAGCAATAATCTTTTTTCATCTGATTAGTCTCAATTGTTCTGGAATAGCCTCACTAAGTATCAGTGTATATTTTAAATAAATAAAATACTCGATGTGACAGTAGCATCAGGATTGTTCATGGTGTAGTATTTTGCTTTTGTTGCAACTCATAGACTAAGTCCTATGTCAAGATTTAGTCTCTAACGCCTAAACACTTTCTAGCTCACCCTTGCTCTTGCCTCTTGTACAGCTTTTCTTTCTTAATAGAGCTTCGGTCTGTTTGAGCTAGTGAATGTTCCTTCCACCTTTCCTTTTTCTTCTGCATCAGTCAGGTTTTCCTTATCTTACAGATAGGTAGATAGATGCAATTGCATTAATTTGCTTCCAAAAGCTGACGTGTCCAAGCTTATCAAAAACCTTTTAAAAAAAAAAAAAATTTGGGAACTCAAAATGCATGTATTAGCTTTGTTCATATACACGTTAATATGCTTCATACCTAAGGGGATGAACTTGTGTCACCATGGCATACCAGGTTGCTGCTTGTCTAGTGGCACATGGTGATGATCTGCATGTATGCTCCAGCCTAGCTGAATTGTTCCTCTAATTTCGCAGCTGTGGGCTATCATATCATAAGGCTGCTGCGTTTGACTGGTTCACTGGTACAGCATTACAGATGAGAATATATTCTTTGTTCACCCTCCTGCTATCTTAAAAGTCACAAAACCAAAGCTGTAACTTGCCTCTGTGAACAAGATTTTAGTGATCATCTGTTGTCACCAGCCAGTCTTGCACCAAAGTGTCTAGTGGTCTGTTCAGAATCTAACACTTTAGCCTCAGTGCTATGTTGAGGAAGAAATGTTAGCCACAAGAGTCAGGAAACTTGAGATGCCATGCACTTGTGGGGTTTTTTTGGTTTTTTTAACATTATAATTTAAAGAGACAGCATCTGAAGTGTCTCTACCATCAAAATATTTTAAAGATTACTAAGGTTGTAGAAGTTCTATTTTCAAGTTACCTGTTCAGGTCAATTATACAGGTAGCATAGACATTCAGTGCAGTAGCACTACTAAATAAGTAATAAGGCAGCATTTCATGCTTTTAGTCTTCAGCCCTGGTCATTTCCATGCTTTTTGGAAGAAATTGTTGCAAATGTCCCTTCAAGGAAAATTGTGTGCACCAGGTTTAAGTTAAATTCGTGATGAAACAAAATGCTCCCTATCAAGTTTCTGAACTTTTATTACACCTCTATTAAACTTAAAACTGAGAGTAAAAAGCTATGTGGACTTCTTTTCTCCTGAAATCCAATGTTTTGTCCGTCTTATTAAATTCTATTCACAAATTCTATTCAAATACATCAGCATTATAAAAGTCCTGGTATTGCTGTCTACTGTTCTGCCATTAGTAGGGTCTATTAGTATTTCTGGTGCTTTAGAGTATTTTGTCATCAGTGCAACATGTAGGCCTCATTGCTTATGAAAAATAAAAAAGGAAATTTTAAAAATTAGTTTGATTCAGTATTGCCTTAACTTTCACATATCAGTTTTTCCTTTTTTGAAGGCTCTTATTTATACAATTATTTGGTCTGTTTAATCTTCTACCCCCCTGCAGCTGAACAACATTTTCTAGTGCAAGTTAGCTGTGTGCGCTCATCTAAACGATCTTAAAAGTGCTTATGGACTTGTTAAAAACTACATATGTAAACAAAGTAAAAGCTGTAGATACTTGACTTGTCCCACAGTGGGTGGAAGGAGAAACAAGGTCTGGAAACTGCCAAATTGCGGCAGTTTTTCCTTAAACAATTATTAAACAAATTAAATTAAAAGCTTTATGTTCCTTTTACCCAATTATACTATTCTGGATCCTTAAACTGAGTCATATTACTGCTTTGTCAGTTTGTTCTTGTTAGCAATGATATCAATCCGATATTCTTAACTCCTGTCTTTTTAGGCCTTTTAATGCCTCGGAACGTAAAGCAAGCTCCTATGCTGTTGTAGACTGTGATCAAGCAAGAAAGGAAGTTAGTGTCCGCACTGGAGGAGTTGCAGATAAGACATCAAGAAAGACTTACACATTTGATATGGTAACGCCTTGTCAAGTTGGGGACTTCTAGAAACAAGCTAGTACATTTCTCTAATATGGTCTGATTACTGTGTGATGCCATACATTACTGTATGGATAAATGGGATATGTTGTCTTTGCCTCAACAGGTTTTTGGAGCTCAGGCAAAGCAGATTGATGTATACCGGAGTGTTGTGTGTCCCATTTTGGATGAAGTTATTATGGGCTACAACTGTACAGTGTTTGCGTAAGTAAGCCAATAATTATTATTGGGAAATTTGATTTGAATTTTAGTTTCTTGTTTACATTTTAATTTTTTATTCTCACAGTTATGGCCAAACTGGTACTGGTAAGACCTTCACAATGGAAGGGGAGCGGTCGCCCAATGAGGAATATACTTGGGAAGAGGTATATTTTCACTGATGTGATTTCTCTTGTCTGTACTGTAGTTCAAAGTTAGAAATTGCAGAAGGCTAAAGAAAACCTAAATTGATGCCTTTCAAATCCTGAAGCTGACTTTCCTTAAATGTTTGTAAATTAGCAAATGGTCTCACTCATTTATATGAAAATCAAATCTTTACATCTTTAATGCAATCATACAAGTCTTGGCGATCTTTATATGGAAGATGATCTTTATCCAAGGTATTCTTGCTTATATCAAATCAGACTATTTAGCTGAAATTCCACTCCCCACCCTGAAATCCCTTTTAGTACGTTTATGTATTAAATACTTTGCTTTCATTTACAGGATCCACTAGCGGGTATAATACCCCGTACATTGCATCAAATATTTGAAAAACTCTCAGAGAATGGTACTGAATTTTCAGTGAAAGTCTCTCTTTTGGAAATCTATAATGAGGAGCTTTTTGATCTTCTGAATCCTACTCCTGATGTTGGAGAAAAGCTGCAGATGTTTGATGACCCTCGAAACAAGGTTAGTGCTGTCTTCCAAAATTTGTGATCTTAAGGCTTTCAGGATCATTGAGAGATAATAAGCATGCGTTATTTTCTCACAGAGGGGTGTAATTATTAAAGGTTTGGAAGAAATAACTGTACACAACAAAAATGAAGTCTACCAAATCCTGGAAAGGGGTGCAGCAAAAAGAACGACTGCAGCTACTTACATGAATGCATATTCCAGGTACAAATCTTCCCCATTTCAGAAACTTCTTGTTCTTGTTTTATTAAACAGGATCTTACCAAAGAAGTAAAAGATGTTAAAGCTAGCACAAACCTGGCATGATCTTGATATTGTGTATTGCAGTTTAGGTTGCCAAATGTGGGTTAGAAAGCCATAGTTAGAACTTCTTCCTTATCACATCCTGTGGGGTGATTCTAATAGGTGTATGAAGGTGCACTATAAAATCTGAATGCGTCTCATCTTAAAAATGGGCACGCTGTTTCTCTCTGCGTGACTTTTTACATAAGCTTCCCCTCCTGTTTAGAGTTTGCATACTTTGTTATTAATATATCCCTTGTTAATATGCAGTGTCTAGTTGGAACAGTAGCCCTGGCATTCTACCTAACTCTAGTTGAGATGCAAGTAGCAGAATGTTCTTAATCTGGCATCTAGGATATTGAAATTTAATTGTTACTCAAAGTTAAGAAGTTAACTTTTTCAAAGCTGTCTATGCCTATGGAAACAAAAGATGGAAGTCTGACAGATACATAACTGAAATATGTTGTACGTACTAGCACGAGATCGATATTCTCTGCAGTAGATATTGTACATCTTCAAAAAGAAGGCTGTAGTCCTTTCAAGTTTGGAAGATGTTTAGCTGATATACCTGTATTAGTGAGGTGGGTTGTCTTTGTTCTAGCTGTTATGGGTAGTTGGGGGGTGGGGTTTTTTTGCCAATCCTGTTTACCAAATAAAAATTTGAAGTAGGAGTTTCAAGTATCCTTTCCTTTCAGTAGAAAATGGTACACTAGGTTTTGTTACTGAAGTTGGGATTTCAAAACACTGCTAAGATCTGGTTTTTACAGGTCAACACAAGACCCTCTTTTTCAAACCCCAGCTTCTGAAACCTTGCAAACTGGATTGTGGAAGTTGGGGATAAGGTTGAGAGGTTTTTGTATGGCAATGCAGGCTACTTCATATGATTGCAGCTTGTAGTCGGAATGTAGTAGAGACACCTTGGTCAAAAATATCATTGTTTATTACTGATTTCTCATTCTTGAACTGCAGATATGATATCTATGTCACTGAACAAGTAGTGATCCAGTGTTGCAATAAACAAGGAACACCCTGTCCATGTCATCTTTTAAATTAAAGATACACTAAGCACATTTGTTTACTGGTACAAGGGAATGGGTATTTGGCTACCACAGATTTGAACACAGAACTAATTTCATCTGAAACTTAAAAAAAAAACCACACCCAACCTTTAAAGTATTAAGCTCAAGCTAAAATCATCTTAAACTGTACTACTGTTTAGATTGAAAACTGAATTGAACTTCTGAATTTTTAACACTGGATTCAGCTGCTTGTTGATTTTCTTAGCCTGAATAAAGAAAACTATATTTCTTAATCTCACATTCTGTAAAACTGTTCTTAGTGTATTGACTAAAAAATCTACAAGCCAGTTTTCTTGACATGTCTGTGAGTTGAGAACACACAAATGTAAACAAAAGCAAAGTGTTTCTCTCGGGTTTTGCTTGAAATAAGATAAAATTTGTCTGGATTGAATGAGACAAACATCATCCAGTTGCTTCATCGCTGGTTTTAAGTACCATATTCATATGTATACACACAAAAATATACTTGGTAGAATAACTGCGTATTGAAAATGTGTAATTCCCAATTAATGGGCCAAATGTATTCCCTAAAAAGAGCATGGATGCCTAATTTGCAGCAGTGTCATGTAGCAAGCAGATCATTTGGCTTTAATGGGATGTCTGTCTGAAACTCAATTCTTTTATAGCCGTTCTCACTCTGTGTTTTCGATCACCATCCATATGAAAGAAACAACAGTAGATGGAGAAGAACTTGTTAAAATTGGGAAGCTAAACTTGGTAAGTTATTTGAACTAAATGTCATTGATATTCTTAAAAGTATGAATAATCTGACCTTATTCTCTTGAGAATCTAAGGTGGGTTTTTTTCTGGTAAGGGGGAAAAAAAATCATTGTTTTTCATAACGGGATATAAACTATATTTGTCACTCTGAGAAATGTCAGTCCTATTTGTCACCCCAATGTCTCCTGAACAACTCATAAGCTAGTTCGGCTATGTTGTGTTCTGCAACGCTATGAGCCAAGCATTCTTTAGGGTGGTTTGAGACAGAAGCATGTCCTTCCTCTTGTCTTTCAGGTTGATCTTGCAGGAAGTGAAAACATTGGTCGATCTGGGGCAGTTGACAGAAGAGCTCGTGAAGCTGGAAATATCAACCAGTCTCTCCTGACACTAGGAAGAGTTATTACTGCTCTAGTAGAAAGAGCCCCACATATTCCATACAGGGAATCTAAACTCACAAGAATCCTTCAAGACTCTCTTGGAGGACGAACAAAAACATCAATAATTGCCACAGTTTCTCCTGCATCTATGAATCTTGAAGTAAATTTAAGTCTGAAAATCTATTCCTAAAATAGATATACTTTGCTAATGATACAAAAATATGAGTTAACTCCTCAGCTTGACCTAGTGTTAAATCTGTTTATCATAGGAAACACTGAGTACACTGGAATATGCCCACAGAGCAAAGAACATAATGAACAAGCCTGAAGTTAATCAGAAGCTAACAAAAAAAGCTCTTATTAAGGTAGGCTAGACATATATCTTCACAAATTAAGTTACAGGTTAGGTTTGATTCTGTTAATAAAATTTTTGCTATGCAGGAATTACGAAGTTGTGGAGAAGCTATAACTAGTAGCACTGCTTTTCTGAGGTGATTTTAATCACTGAACTAACACTTTCAAACTAAGCTGCTCTATTGATACAGCATTAGTCACTTTGCAGATGCTGAAACTTGCTAAGACTAAAGCTGGATAGAGAGGGGTATTGCTACTAGCTATGACTCTGTATGGATTACCTGATTACATGTTAGTGGAGAGCCACTAAATGACGCTGGATTTTTTTTTTTTCTGGACTTGCTATATTAGCAGCTTCATTCCCTAGAAAGTGCCTGAATTAAATTGAACTTGTCAGTAAATATGAAAGAAGAGCCAATATAAAGTAGCTGACTGCTACTAAAGCAGCTGTGATTGCCATTGTAAGCTGCTACATGCAACCAGGTATGATTCAAATGGGAGGTTTCAATGCCGACATGTATCCAGTGGTATGAATTTAAATGGTGCTATACTGAACTCATTTGGAACAGAAGTGCTTTTCTCCTGTGCTTATGCAAAACTTGTGTAGAACACCATCTTTGTGAAGTATCTGTTAAGCTAAATCTTGAAAGCAAAGTAGAAATTTTCAGGTTTACACATGATTGTTTCTTTATGCAGGAATATACTGAAGAGATTGAGCGTCTGAAGCGAGACCTTGCTGCTGCACGAGAAAAAAATGGAGTCTATATTTCCCTTGAAAATTATGAGTATGTCTTCAAAATGTCTTTAAAATTACTAACAACAAACCCCAGATACTGGTACCTATCCTTACACAGAAGTGCTTTCAGATCTATTTTCACACCAGAAAATTGAAGATAGTCAGGAGAATTTAAGTGACTCGTCAACTTGTTCTTTAGAAATTAATTATTACACAGATAGAAGCCTAAAGAGTAGCTTTGCCCTGAGGATCTTATTTATGTGGAACTTACCATAAGCATAGCCAGGATGCAGATGTATGCCATGCAGCCTTTCTTTCAGTGGAAGTGCATATAGGAGAGCAAACTTGATATAGTTTATTTTACTTTGTAAGAGGCCTAGTTTATGCAGAAAGTTTACAATGGAAAATTGTCTTAAATCCTTTCTGCACTGAGTGAAAATTACCTGCTTTTCATACAGAAGTTAACAATACTTATTTTTTGAAAATACTAAATATGTGGTATAAAAACCAGTAGATAATCTTGAAATCAGCTCTTACTTAACTAATTTGTTTGTTTGTTTTAATCCTTGCTTGAGAGCCCTTAGTGGAAAGCTGACAGTTCAGGAAGAACAAATTGCAGAGTATATTGACAAAATCAGCATCATGGAGGAAGAAGTGAAAAGAGTAAGTGATGTTTCTCAACTGTGGCTTAAATCTGCCAAAAAATGAAAGAAATCTTGGGTAAGGAGGAAAAAAAGTTTAAACAAAGAATGGTCTGAAGAGTTTTTGTTCTTAAAGCTCCCTAATTAGTCAAGAGTGGGAGCTTCCTAATCCTTGAAGTTAGGAAGTTGAAATATATATGAAGTTGCAGGATGCAATATTTATTTTTTTTAAAGCTGGTTTAATATCTACCACTTTACCTTTAATTTGCTTTGCTGGGTTTTCAGCAAAAATCTGCTTGTAAAATAGTATCATTTCAGTTGACAGATACCTGCTTAGGAACAAAGAATGAGGGGGGAGAGGAGAAGGTGATGAGCCTCCGTTAACAAATTACACATAAAATGGGAGCTTTGTCTTTAGAAGAAATGCAGATATTTGCTGGAATATGTAACTACTCTGTGTAGTCAGTTTTACTGACTCTTCTTCATTCTGTCTGCTTAGGTTTTAGTGAGATTTTTTTTCTTGTGCTGTAACAATTGTTTGGTCTTGTGGTTTGAGTGGGGAAGCAAGGATTATTACAGTGAAAATGGTGTGGTTTGTGATATTTTCAGTGAATACAGAGACTATACAAATCTATAGTCCAGGTTTAAGACCTCTGAGCCTTACAGCTGAAACTACATTAGCAGATGACAGCTTGCCTTCTGGTATTGTGGCATAATTTGAGAGATGTGAAGTGGGACTGTTGAACTTATAAAAAGCAGTGTTGCCCTATTGATGTTTGTCTTCCACTTTAGGTCACTGAACTATTCACAGTTAGTAAAAATGAACTTGAACAGTGTAAAACAGACCTGCAAGTCAAGGAGAAAGAACTGGAAGAAACACAAAAAGATCTGCAAGAAACCAAGGTTCATCTGGCTGAAGAAGAATATGTGGTTTCAGTTTTGGAAGACACTGAACAAAAACTTCATGGCACAGCTAGCAAGGTTGGTCACAATTCTTGTACCTAACTGTAACAGTAGCTTCCCATGTTTAGGAGTTTCATGGGCTGTTCAGGGAAATCATTGTTGCTAAATCATGATGGAAAACTAGGATTAGTGCTCTCTGTAAATTATATTATGATGAAAAGCTACTTAAGATTGCAGGACTTCCTCTGTGCTAATATTGACAGTTGATTGCTAAACACACTGGTTAGCGTGGAGCTACCTTCAGGCCCAGTTTGTCATGAGAGTTCCAGTGCTTTGCAGTATCTATTGTCATGACTTGTTTTGTAGAATAAGTAGTTTTCTTTACTAGAAACTTGTGGCTGGCCCTACAAAAGAGTAAGTTATATGTAACTGGGGTAGAAAAATAGCAAAAAGCTTTGCAGAGATGTGTGCTATAATTTACACTCACTGAGTGAATAATGGAAACTGTTGCCCTGTCACCTCTATATTTTAGGGTATGGTTTTGATGTGTTTGTAGATTGGTCATAATTATCGAAACAAACTTGATGTGGGAAGAGAGAGAGTGTCCTGCTATTTAAACTGCAAAGTGATGAAACTTGTATCTTTAGTCAACATGAAAATTTCCTTCTACTCAGATTCCTGTAAGGTTGGGAGGGGATGCCTTTTTTTTTTTTGCATGTGGGTTGTGGAGTGTTTGTGTGAGATAAATAGGTACAGAAGTTATTTGCACTGACTACAAAACCAAGAATCCACTATACGTTTGAATTCAAAATTATTTATCACAGAACTAGTACTGGAAACCTCTTGCTTGAGTACTAGTAAAGAATGTATTTACTGCCAAATCTTTCAGAAAAAGTTGAAGAGGTCAGGAATTTTTTTTCAGTTACTGTTCTGTGATAAATGTTATCTTAATTCCTTAAGTACTGAGGATGTCCTTTATTAATGCTTTAGTTTCAAAGTCAGAACAAATGGTCTCTAGTATGTGACTTTTTCCTGTGTTCTAAGACTATAAATGACATAACATCAGGATTAAGAACAGTTGTAATTTGATGATGTAAAGGGAAATAGCTATCTTTCTAGGGAGATAAATTCTCCTTTAACTCAGAACCGCAGTTGCTTTTCCTTATGTATGCTTGACTTCTTGTTTAAAGACTGACTAAAATAACTTAAAAAAATTGTAGTTGCTTAGTACAGTTGAAGAAACTACAAAAGATGTATCTGGTCTCCATGCAAAACTGGACCGTAAGAAGGCTGTTGATCAACACAATGCTGTCGTCCAAAATACATTTGCAGGACAAATGAATGCTTTGTTCAACAAAATACAAGATTCAGTTAGTGAAAACAGTTTGAAGCAGCAACAGATGTTGACATCTTACACAAATTTTATAGGTAAGTGTAAAACCTGTATTGGTATGTCATCCTGAATTTTTGCAACTAGTAGTACCAAAGACCGTTTCCTAAAATGCATCTGTTTTATTAAGTGGAAGAGGCTTTATTTTCAGCAATTTAATGATTACAGTTGCACCAGTAATAATATATTTGGGATGATCAACAGCCTTCTTGTGTTGTAAGAGGCAATAAGGTGATGAGCAATAAAAAGAGTTCCTATCTTACAGTGGAACTTTTAGAAAAGAAAAAAAAAAACCTGTAACTCTTCTTGGCTTCTTTTGTAGGTGACCTCCTGTCTACCAGTTCTTCAGCAGCTAATATTCTTGCATCAGTTGTATCAGCATCTTTTGCATCTGTTAAAGAATTGGTGTCTACTGAAGTTTCTCACATGTCTGAGAAAATAACACAACATGAGAATCTGTCACTCAATTGTAAAGCTGAGCTGCTGAGATTAATTGTTAGTAAATTTACATACTCTTATGTTACTTTAAATATATGAAACTTTTCTTGATCAAAAAGGGTTCTGCAAATATTGTATAGGGGTTTTCTTCTGACGTTCTCTCTACCTGTCTCTGCTTCAGCACTTGGCCATGATTATGTCCCTTCCCACTTCCCCTCCCATGTCACCACCACAAGCTGTAATGTATTATATAACAAATACTGTAAGAGCAGAGTTCATGATATGTGTATGGATAGTTTCTTACAAATGTAGATGAAGGAACAGTCATATCCTGTTTTACTTTTGCTTTTACATTTATTTTTTTTTCACCACTGTTCCTAGGAGGAACATAAATCTGGATTAGGAAGAGCATTAAATAGCTTGACACCAATGGTAGAATTTGTCTTGGGGCTAAACTGTCGGTTTCAGAGTTACATGAAGAAATACTCTGCTGTGGCGGACAAGGTAATGCACGTGACTTGTCTCTTACCTTGTCTTCTTCTATTTTATTTAATTTACAGATAACCCTTTGGTGTTTTTTCTGTAGTGTGTCAGAGTGTTTCCACTTCTGGTCTGGCCTTTTCTTTTTTATTCTGTCCCATGAGTTCTACCTTTTAGCTCTTTCTTTCAGACTTCATTTCCACTTCCGAGTGTGGTGTATTTGCTTGTTATCTGTATTGGCACAACTGCTCACCTAAATGCCACAGCAGAATGGTAAAATGTGGATGCTTAAAGCTATACAGAACAAACATTTGATAATATCCTTAATATAGTCTCTCCTGTATTTTAGAAATCTAAAATAAACAACTTAAGTCTTATCACTCCCAATTTCTCCTGCTGTCATACCAAACTTTTTCTGTAGTCACTTTGATTCCTGGGGAATGTGATGCTTTATTTTGTTAACAATAACCATAAGTGCAGACAACGCTCCACTTTTTAAAAAAAAAAAAATTTCCTTTGCTTCAATTTTTACTTGTAGTCTATCTCATGATGTTTATGTAGAACTGCAGCCTCACTCTTTTATTCCTTTTTTTCCATTTTGTCAAAAGTAAATCCTTGTTCCTGTTGCTCTGACTGAAAAATTTCCCCTTTGTCAATTACAACTCATGTGAAATCCACTCCCCTTGTCTAGAGGCTTTTTATTGGTTTTCAGGCTTAGACAGCAAATAGTCCATGGCTTACCAGCTCTTGCTTCTTGCTCTTGGCTTAACGAAGTACCTTGTCTGTGTGTTCCTATTTTGTCTACCTCGCATGCCAAATTTTGTGTTTGGAAAAGCCTGCACCAAATTCCAGCCTGTAACTTCAGATCGCTCTAGGTGTTACTTTCCACCTTTTATGCGCAATACTTTATTAGTGCCTTTGACAGTTTCTCTTGGGGTAGAGTTTGTTTCTATATAAATTTTGCTAGGGAAAAGTATCCAGTTCTTAACTAAAGATAAGTATCTAACTTCAAATAAAACTTTTTTCAAAGATGGAGGGTCATAAAAAGGAAATGGATACCTTCTTTGGAGATCTTTCTCTCACCCTGAAAACATTACGGGAAGAAACAGCCAGTGTTTTTGCTCAGCTTCAGAATGATTGTGAGAATTTAAAAGAGGAAGTGGAAATGACGAGGTTGGCACATACAAAGGTATCCTTAGAGTAAAAAGAAATCCTAACACCAAGTGTGATTACTTGCTTTGATTTAAACTCTTTGTAGCATTAAACTGTTATACTTGCTTTAGAAGAAATGTTAGGACAGTAACTTGATGATCCTAATTCTTTTCAGCCTTTGTTGGGCTGCTTTAAGAAGCTTTATGTAGGAAGGTAACAAAAAAACCCCACACTTACCCTTGCTCTAAGCATGTCCAGTATATATTCCTTTACATATACTTTCAAAAGCAAAGCGCCTCTATCTTCTCTACACAAAAATTGTACCTTCAGCTTTAGAATGATAAAGCTCTTTTATTTGCTGCATTTTTAAATAAAGGCATTCAAGTACCCTTTAAGAATGTTAACAAGTGCAGAATAACAGTGAAATGTATCTTGTTTTTCTTAATAGAGCACAGCTGAATTAATTTTGTCACTGCAAAGCCAGCTTGACCTGTTTGCTCAGGAGACTCAGAAGAACTTAACTAATGTACTCATAAAAAATGGAAGCTTGAAGACTGCCATTACTGCTGTGCAAGAAAATGTTCACCTGTAAGGAGCAGACTACTTTTGGTGTATGCTGATGCAAGATAAAACTGCAAAATTACATGCTCTTCTTATTTATATGCTTATAAAGTCTTCTGGACTAGACCTGTATGTTAGCGCTGAGTACTGCCACAGAATGTAGATCATAGTTCATGTTTCCCCAGAGTAAAAGGTAGCCCTACAAGGCTTTTAGTCAAACTTGTCTCTTGAGCATATTGCAGATAAGAGACCATGGTTTGGGGAGCAATATGCTGATGAGTGACCTTCAGTATGGCTGGACTTCAGAACTTCATACCATAAAGGCTTAGCTTGAAGTATAATAGTGTATCTATTGCAGCATGCTTCATTCAGTTGCAGACTGAATAACTAAGGTCTTGTCAAAGTTGTTGGGTTTTTGTTTGTGGGTTTGGTTGAGTGGTTTTTGTTTGGAGGGTGGGGGTTTAACAAACCTACTGCTCCAAGTGCTGCAATTCGTAAATTTACTAAACAGAGCAACAGCATAACTGGTTTGATGGAACTGCACTACTTCACTGGTTCTGGTCTTGTATTTCTAAATGTAGAATGTGTTAAAATCCACCTTTCAGTCTCTGAACTGGTACAAATATGTTGTTGCAGGAAAACTACAGACTTAGTCAGCAGTACAAATTCCAATCACAGCAAATTTATTGCATCTCTGGATGATTTCTCTCAAGAGCTCAGGATCATAAATGCTGAAAACAAGATGATGCTGGAAGAATCCACTGATCACTGTCAACAACTTCTTAGCAATCTCAAAAATGTGTCTCAGGATACTGATAAATGGGCTGAATTTACAACTGCTCAGATAGTTGACTTTACCAATCAGCAGCTACTGTCCTTCAGTTATGAGAAACAGCAACTTCAGTGTTTACAAAAGGTACCTATAGTCACTTGGAGTCTAATACAACATTCTGAGACAGGCTTTAACAGTAGAATTTGTAGGGGGGGGAAGTTCTCACTTATAGCCAGAACAAAATTGTGATTTTCTGATCACAGCAGGCTTGTATTACTCAGCTTAAATAGATGCAATTAGAGGAAATCAGAAGCTTAATTTAAGAGGAAGACTTTAAAATTAAATGCTAATAACCTCAAAAAAGGGTGTCCTGATTAATCCCATGTGGCTGACTTCCATTTGTAATTTGGGCTTTTTACATCTTTTTGGTAGTATATATCTCTAATACTAAAGCTTTATCTACCAGTGATGTGCCTGGAAGATTTGCACAATGATCAAATACAGACTACGTTCTGGAGGATGCAAATTACTTTACTGGTCAGATGGATTAACATTATGGGAGAAAGTGTTCCTTTAGTATCTACTAGTTCTGGCCTCTTACCTGAGAATTCCTTTTTTTTTTAATTTCCATTGCAAACTTCACTTCCCACCTTTCTTGTTTTATTGTTCTAATAGGTAATGAAACAGGCAAATCCAACGTTTTGCTAACTTTCAGAAAGAAAGACTTAAAAGCATTTGCTGTCTCAAGACACCCCTGTGTGTTATACTTACTGAATGTTTCAGGAGTTTCATTCCGATGGGAATGGCTAAAAATACATGTTTTCCTTCTTTTCCCCTACAAACGCATAAAGCTTCTAGTACTTGTAGGATTTTCACTTTCACTTGAATATCCTAATTCTGTGTGGGGTTGTGCATAGAAGCATGAGGAGTCTGATCTGAACCAGATGGCATCATCTTTATTCTTATTAGTAGCTTTCTAAAATGATCATACTTTCTAAGAAACTGACTCTCTTCTGAAGATAGTTCTCAAAATGAGAGTGTAAAACTGGCACTGAAACCTCTCAATTTGAGGTCTCTCAGTTGTTCGTTTCAGGTCATGTTACTAATCATGCACCACACCTTAGAAAAGAGGCCATAACCTTAGCTTTCCTGTTAACTTGGTGGTTTTTGTTGGGTTTTTTGTTTTGTTTTCAGAAAAATGAAGAAAACTGTGATAAAGCGATAGCTGAAATTGCTGACCATACTGGTAGACAAAAAGCTGCTGAGGAGAAGGTACTAAATGGCCTTCTTGATCAGGTAAAGGTTGATCAGGAGATACTTCTGGAGCAGAAGTTGGCACTTAATGAGGAAGCACAGCATGGACTGACTCAGGTTAATGGTTTCCTGCAAGAGGATCTTAAAGTGGATATTCCAACAGGTATTTAAAGTAGGTCGGGGACAGAATGGTCTTAAAGAAAGCAATTTGAGTTGCAGAATTCGTAAGTGAAGGTTAATGGGGACATAATATAACTAGCAGCCTTACACCTTTTTTAAGGTGCATGCAAAGAATGGTGACTGAACAAAGCTTGACTTCTGTATTGAGTTAATGTAAAATTGATGGTCTGCAATTAAAGCAAATGCTGATCGTGTTTAATAGCGCCTTTCATTAGTATACAATCTTCATTAAAGGGACAACTCCACAGAGAAGAGACTACTTCTATCCAGTCACACTTGTGAGAACAGAACCCCGGGAACTTCTACTGGAGCAATTAAGAGAAAAGCAACTAAAGCTTGATGCTATGCTAAACAGTGTGACAAAGGAGGTGGAGGATAATGCAGATCAGGTATGTGTATGAATGGCAAATGAGGCTCTTCATTGAAGAGTTCACATCTTTAGCAGTTTTTTCATGCCATTGTGGAGAGTTGACTAGAACCCCAGAGTTGTTGCAGCCTTTGTGGTTTACAGGGTACTCGGTCACATGTGCTGAGCTTTTGACAAAAACAGTCTCTTGAAAAATAAGAGAAGACGTTAATAATTTAGAGACTTTCAGTTCTGTTTTTCAAAATGGAAGTGCCATGTCTTTTATAGACCTGATCATGCTTAGTACATTCACCTAGGGAACTCAGACATTAAATACGCTTTTCTGAAAACTTCTCGTTTAGGACCTGTTGGAAGAGGAGGAAGAGTTGCAAGAATCCAGTGAAAGCCTTGCTAGTGACAAATCCTTTGTGGATACAAACATATGGTGCCACGCAAATGGGGGCATTCCCTTTTTCCAGGTAACTTCCACAGATATTCCAAACAGCTATATATTTAAGAGTGAAGGAAAATTATTGTTCCATAATAGTGTTGTAGTCTAAAGTCACCTACTATCATTTAGTGTAGTCTCACAACTTCTTTGAACCCTGTAGAATATGCTTTGTTAAACTTGAGCTAAAATAACAGCAGATTCTGATAACAGTTAACAGCAGATAAATAATGCAAATTTCTGATGAGCTGGACAGACAGTAGAGAAATCCTCAGCAAATAATCCTGCATGAAAAAAGTTGTCATAATTTACTACACAAACACATGTGTGTTAATGTAAAAGTTGAAATGAGATGTGGAGTATCTTCTTAGAGGCCAGATGGAAATACTAGCATTCTTCACTGGTTTGGGTTTGGTGTTTTGGTTTTTTTAGTTGTTGTTTTTTTTTTTTTTACTTTATTCCTTTAGACCCTCTTGCTCTACCAATGTATCAGTGTGTAAATCCCTGGTATATTAGGCTTGGATTTGGCTTGGGGAGGGTGGGAGGTATATTTACTTGTCATGGATCCCTTAAAAATAGCTGCTGAACTTCCAGATGTCTACAATAAATCTCTTTAGTAAATGCAATATTGGGAACCTTTTTCAGGAGTTATACCAACTTTTTTTTTTCTCAGAACACTATATACTGCATTGTACGTGAGCAAGTAGTCTTTAATTTCTTTGTGTTCTCTTAACATTGGGCATTTTCTTTAAATCCCAGCACAAAAGGAGTCACAAAAAGGATAAAGAGAACAAATCTGCAGCTACAGTGGAGAAGAACAAAATAGAGGATATGACAGAACAGTTTCTTCCCAAATCTAAGCCTCCTTTAAGAGCACTGAACTAAGATACATCCACTGCAGATTCCTGTTTTGAAATACTTGGGTCTGTCTACTGAGCCATAACTTTCTTCAGTTAGTCTCGGTCTCTGTACATAGTGATACGTTGATGCAAAGTTGGATCAAAAGATTGGCCTGCCAGCTGTCCTGCCTTTGTCCAATTTCTATATGCTGTAGCTTGCGAAGTATTAACGGACTTTTTTAAAAATTAAAAAAAAAAACACAAAACCAAAACTCCCTGCAGATGGTGGTGCTGTATGTTTAAATATACTTTTATCTTGTCAAGTAAGAGATCCTTTTCTGTTTCTCAGTAGATTTAAAACAGAACAGAAAGGTATGTGGAAAAATGCTTTGTCAGCATTACTAGCTACCATTTTATTTTTAATTAACTGTAAATAAGTGTTGGTTTTGTACCTGCTTTTTAGTCTGATTTCTGTTTCTATGAAGTAGATAGCTGTCTTTTGACTGGGATACTTCAAATAAATCATTGATACATGGAGAAAAAAAAATGTATAAGCGCCTCCCTCAGAGTAAAACAAGCTTATGTGACTTTCATCTTATATTACCAGGTTTAATTTAGGTAAAACATTAGCAGCTGTGTTGTAAGTCTTGTGCTGTCAGAAAAGGATCATGGAATGGTTTGGGTTGGAATGAACCTTAAAGATCATCTAGTTCCAACCCCCCTGGCATGGGCAGGGACACCTTCCACTAGATAGGTTGCTCAAAGCCCCATCCAACCTGGCCTTGAATGTGTCCAGGGAGGGGGCATCCACAGCCTCTCTGGGCAACATGTTCCAGTGCCTCACCACCCTCACAGTGAAGAATTCCTTCCCAATACCTAATCTAAATCTGCCTTCTTTCAGTTTAAAGCCATTTCTCTTTATCCTATCACTACACTCCCTGATAAAAGAGTCTCTTCCCACAATTCTGTAGGCCCCCTTTAGGTCCTGGAAGGCTGCTACAAGGTCTCTCTGGAGCCTTTTCTTCTCCAGGATGAACAACCCCAACTCTCTCAGCCTGTCTTCATGGGGGAGGTGTTCCAGCCCCCTTATCTTCTTTGGAGCCCTCCTCTGGACCCACTCCAACAGGTCCATGTCTGTCTTATGTTGGGGGCCCTAGAGCTGAACAATGTTCAGCTGTGTGAATATTGTGAAAGTGTGAATGCTTCCCTCCCTTGTTTCCTAATAGACAACAGCTTTATTTCAGTACCTCTTCAGTATATGAAAGCCAGTCTCACTACTGGGTTTTGGGGTTTTTTTTGTTTGTTTTCATTAGTTTTGAACCTAACTGTTCTTATATTTCCTATTAACCTTCAGCTGTGATGTGTTGGCTTGGATAAGATGTTGTCAACCACAGCTTCTGTATTGTAAACTGGCAGCATTTCTTTTAAGATGTAGATACTTCACATTAAAACATGCAAACTTGATTACAAATGCAGCTCCTATATCGTACAACAACAGTGAATTTCCTGTAATTGACAGTAGCATTTGACCAGCTGTTCTTTTCATTCTGCTTACCTGAGAATTTGAAGAAAACTTCAAGCTATGATGTGCTAAAAAAGCAGATGAATAGGATTATGATGGGAGTGGGGAGAGACACTGGAAGGCAGCCTTAATTGGCATTAAAGCACTATTCTTGGCTAACTGTCAAAACACGATTTAAGAGATTGTTAATTTTTCTGTATCTAGCTTGCAGGCTTAAGCTGATCTTTCTTCAAATGGGTGGTCTATATGTCTATTTGTCTTTGAGCAAGTATGCCAACTAGATCTACTTTGGACACCATTCAGACAGCACACTGCAGTCTCACCAATACAGAAGGACATAGTTTGAAGTATGCCCTTGCACTGATTCTCTGAACTCTAACATGAGATAGACCATTAATCAGTTGTGTTTGTCTGAAACACCTGTCTTACCTCTTTTTTTTTATCCTCTCTTGCCACTGTGGGCAGAGCTAATTGCTTTTTTCTTAATAGCCTGGTAGGAGGAGGGAAAACATTAATTCCCTTTCAAATGAGTAAGAGACACAAACATGTTTGGGTTTTGTTGTTGTTTTTTTAATTTTAGAGGGGTGTTATGATATCTTGGTACCTAGCTTATATACCAAATCTTTCTGTTGTTGTAAGGGACTTGAAACACTGGAAGCTACAGGACTGTCTGCTTCAGATAGTGTTTGGCATATTGTCAAATTCTGGCACCAGAAACTTAACAGACTCAAGAACTCTCCAGGGCCTAGGGTCCATTTTCTTGCACTGCATGCCTGTTAACACTGACTAGATATTAGCATGATCTTCCATGACTGTTCAAGAAATCATTTATTAACTAAAATTCAACCAGAAGTGTTGGTCCCACAGCTGTATTGGAAAGGCCTAAGCCAAAGGGGAGAGGCTTGTGCAAGCCTTTCACCCTACTACTTCATTTTCCCAATTTGAGTTCACAAGATCAGTATGAACAAACTGGAACAGCCAGTACCCGAGGAGGGTCACATCCATAAAATCACGCCAGAATCTGTGCTTCCTGCTTTATCCTCTTTGAAACTGTCTTGTCTACCTTGGCTATTTGGTTTCCTCTGGTACAGGCACAGGCTGCTTTCCTGGTAGCTGGGACCCTTAACAGCTGTATGAATTTCATGGCCTGTTTGCATGCTCTCTCTTTTTCTAAAGTACCCCTCAGAGTCACGTTTTCTTTTGTTTGCAATACTGGCATCGCAGATCATTGCTTCATTGGCCATGCTGTTACACCAGAAAGCTGAATAGGATGAAAAATCCAGATGCAGAACCTTTCTTAGCTTCTCTGTCCATGTCTCTTCTCCCACTAGATGGCTCTAACACTAAAGCGTTAGTCCAAAGCTCAAGTACTGGCCACTAATGAGGACTTAGACATAAGCATTTTGCCAAGCTTTTTGTCAAGCATCTGTTAAAAGAACAGGTTTCAAAAACTAATATCAAATTTATGCTTCCACGAGGATAATTCCATATTCAAGCTTGGGCAAGGTTTTTTTTTTTGTCAAGAGCTGCATTTGAGAAAAAGATGATCCAACCTACATCTTGAGGTTTGCTGCAGGGCTGATAGACACTCTCAGTAATCAAATTCTTGTCCTGACCTCCTCTCTGGGTTCCCCACCATGTGGGCATTGCCCAAAGCAGAAAGCAATGCCTATTTGTTTTGGTATATTGTACGATGTATGATAGAAGGAGAAAAGGAGGGTAAGAAAAGTAAACCAAGATTTTTTTCTTGTACATCATAACTGGATTCACAGGTCTAACCCAAAGGGAAGAAATGGCATGGTCCAGGCTCGATTATATGTTGGTTTGAATTTGCCTTGTTATAAGGAATCCTTTATAAGAAGGGCAGGAAGCCATTTCCACAGAACAAACAGCAAGGTCATACTCTGACTGAATTAGTCCAGCTGAGCATGAGGGAGAGTTGTGGTGACTGGGGCTGTAGTATATGGCCATGTTCTAATTAACCTGATGAATTTTTTTGGATTCTGGATTAGTGGCCAAGTGGGACAGCTCTTAATTTCATGAAAAACCCAGGTAGGATGAATGCAATGTGGGGAAATGAAATGAGGAAAAATACTAGTTTAAATGATGTAAAGGGGGAATGCAGAGAGAGTGATAAGAGGGCCACAGGAAGCACAGATAATCAGAGCCACCAGCTTGCTTTTCAGGTGAAAAATGAGCAGTTAGGAGGAAATGGAGGAAAGGAAACTTCCTGCTTCCTCCTGGAAATCAGGGAGCTGTGGCACTTGCTGCATCAGAGTTGTTGGAGGATGCAATGTTTATTTGAAGAGAGGAAAGAAGACTAAGCTGACTGGCTGCTATTGATGGCTGGTTTTATTTTGGGTATCAGAAGCAACTGTGTGGGGCTAGAGAGGAGTGAGGAGAAGGTGCATAGTTGCTAGGCTCTGCCTCTCTTTTTTCTGTTAGGTGTCAGTCACCATTGCGATCATCTGTTAAATGGGTAGAGGAAACGAGGAAGCCTGTAACTCTGGGGTGATAAAAGGAAAAATAAAGCTAGAAGGAACTGGAAAAATAAAATTAAAGTTTAACATTCCTTTGCCATCAAAAAGAGATTGAAGAGAAAAAAGAAAGAGTTCTAATGTTTCAGAGCATTAAAAACAGGAAAAAATAAATAAATTTTAAAATATATAGTTGGTAAATATATACTTTTTAAACAAGTGTTTACAACCATTTGACTACTATTTTTTCTTTCCCTGTTAGAAACTACTTTTTGTGATAGAGGCCAATGGTCTATAAACTGCACGCCCACCCACACAGTTACTTTGTAAAGTTAAATAACAATAAATCATGCTAGGCTTTGCATTAGTAGACTTTATGTGACACAGTATTATAGGTGAGATGTAGACCACCTAGCAAAGTAGGCCATTCTTGTAGGTTGAACACAAACTCCATCTGCAGCAGCATTGCTATGCTCAATCTTGAAAATGTTAAAAGTATGAATGCAGTGCAGCAAAGTGAATGTTTAAATCCCTGTTTTCAGAATACTTCTAAAATTATCTTTGGTTCCCTACTAAAGACTCTAGCTGCCAAGAAGAAGGCACATTATAGCTACACAAATGCTCTTCAGACAGACAAAAAGGAGCAAATGCTTGGTCCAGCAGTCTCTCGGCAGGGAAGAAGTTAGAAACAAGCTACCGTTTTTATATGAGGTCTGAAAATTGTTCCATATTTCCAAATTTCTAAAACTTTATGAGAAGACTGTCAGTTTTCAGGTGGCACAAAATTAGATTTTGTAAAACAATGGAGACTAACTGGATTGTTTCCCTTTTCTCCAAAATATTAAACCTATATAAATGTTCCCTTGACTTCCTTAGTTACACTTGAAATGCTTTCGTGACTCTTGGTCTGTTCATAACCTAAACATTGTAATTCAAAGAATGAGGCACTACGGCTAAAACTTTGAACTCGACTAGTGCATTTTCTTTATTAAAAATGACCAAAATGCAAGAATGAAATAACCAGAAATATGACATAAAAGTACATTAGATTTTTTCCAGATCTTTCCAGATGTAATCATCTACAGTCGTTGATAACATATACATAGTTTTGACTTAATTTTATTCTGACAATGTCCAGAGCACTAAAGCTACTATGTGAAGATTTTTTTTCATGTGATAAGGAAT